CCTGCAAAAGCAAACAGATGCTTCCGCCCTGGAAGAATTCTGCGTGCAAAAGCCAACGTGGAAACACACGTAGGCTTGGGCTGTGGGACACATATCACGCTTCTCCCCGTATAGCAAAGGGACAGCTATGGACTGGAGATTTGTCCATCCCTTCATCACACCTGCCTCTCCCAGCATCATCTTTGGCCACTTCTCAAAGTCCCACAGCCAGGCCACGCTCAAATCTGCATTCAGGCGTTAAATATTATCAAAACGCTGGTCTAAGGCTTGAGAAGCACAGGCACCATTACGCTTTGGTTTTCCGTTAAGGAGAGCGTTAGGCAAAGCACATCGCAGGGCAGCACACTCCAAGAAGCCTCTCAGGAAGACGTTGCATTGAGAAGGAACAAGGAGCCATCCTTCAAGGACGGCATCACTTTCTACTTGGGTTTACCTCTTCACTTGGGTGACTACCACCCACAGCACCTGTACTGCTGAAAAGGAGTTACCTCAAGGAAAACACCCCTCGCTGACCCAACCGCTCCCAAAGCAATCCCCCCCGGCCTCGCTATGGAGAAAGGGGGGAAAAAAGCGCTCAACAAGAAACATTAAAACTTTCGTTTTTGTCGGAGAAACTGCGAAGTGACAGCAGTTTCAGGTTACACCCTAAACCTGCCTCGCTATGGTCGTTTTTCAAATTAAAATATCTTCTGCGGCCTCAGCCGCTCTCCAGCCATCCATAGGCAAGAAAGAAAGGAGGCAGGGCAACACTTAAGCTCAACCATAATTGGAAGTATGTGAAAAATGAAGTGTCAGTTCGGTCAATAAAGGGCAAAGGTGAAGGGGAACTGCAGCCCAAACTCGGTGCGAAATGTGCTCATTAAGACACCCAATCCACGGGCTCCTGCCCACCTATCCCATTAGTCATCGGCCATCTGACCGCTTCAAATGCCTCGCCTCCCCGCTCTTATTACTTTTCTTCTTCCATGTTTTTAAAAAAAAAAAAAAAAATTAAAAAAAAAGGCAAGCTGGTATATAAATCCTTGCTCAGTCATCTGGAACATAATGTGGCCCTTCTCTCCCCCTCCGCCCGGCTCTGCCGCCTGCCTTCGCAGTCTCCAAACAACTGCCTTGAGATTCCCGGCAATAATAAACGCGATTGCCTTTTTGCCTATAGGTTGCCCGATCTCCTACAAAAGCCTGAAAAAACTCCATCGTTGCAGCAATTGATACATTTTTATAAAGAAATATCGCCGCTTTCTACTCCCGGCTTGAAAGAGCAATGGTTATTTGGAGGTTAAAAAAATGTTTTGAAGCCAGGCCGAGGCTTGAACAAAAACAAAAAAAATAAAAGGGAAAAAACAATACACACAACTAGGAGACACTGATGGATTATTTTTCTTTTTCTTTTAAGCCATGTAGGAGAGCTAAACGTGGGAATTAAAGAGCCCCACTCTGGATTAAAAGTGACCATATCAGGGCTTTGTTAGCATCCTCCTAGCCTGACTATTTGAAAAACAAACAAAATAGATCTTTTAATACATCAAACAGGAATCTTCTAAAGTTAGAACATGTAATAAGATAAAATAGTGTTGCCGTGAGCTCAGCATCACCCACCTGTGCCTAAGAACTTGCTTCTCCTTATTCAAACAGACCTTAACAAGTTATTTCTCCACGTTCAAATTCAGATCTCTTTGCACCATTTGGAGACAGACCTCCAAAGGCCCTTCGCGGTAAGTTCAGAGCAATGGGAAAACAGCCCCCAAAAATTTTTCATAATATTATTCTGCATTCCTGTACGATAACTATGCCCTATGATGACACAATACCCGGCCTTTATGAGAGGTTGTGTCAACGTGCTATGCAATAACATATCCCGCTGTTCAGTGGCACGAGACCCCAGAACAGCTCCCTAGCAGTTCAATATGGATTTCTACAATAGATCGAAGCAGGTGGGAGTCATTGCTGTTCACTAAGTAAATACATTTACATGTTAAAAAAGACTTCAAAATGTTTAGAGGAAAGAGCATCTCCTGTTTTCAAAGGTAATTGCTCGATACGTGTTGTGCATAGGGACATAAATAGGTTAAAAATGCACTTTGTGAGGAATTAAAAGCAAGGATGAATGAAGTAAAGAAGAAAAATTCCCAAAAAGTCCAAAAATACACCTTAGCATAGTCTGGGTTAAGGACTAAGGCAGAAAACTCTTGCTAAGGGGCTTAAGTTTTCCAGTCCGTGTGCCTCTCTGAAAATGCAAAGCTCATGCTCGCATCACGCTCGATACCTTCAGCCAGGTTGGAAACCCGGCCCAGAAGGTATTTTTACCTACCCCAACAGGGAAATAAGTTGCGAGAACAACCTAAAAATAGACAGTTTTAGAGGGTTATATTTCTGGTGATTAGATTGGGGTTTTTTTAAATGGCAAACGTGCTCTTAACAGATGGAACCAAAAGGAACTTTTACAAACTCCTAAAAATAGGGAAGCCCATAATATACTGAATATATGTCACGCAACGCATGCATCTCGAGTTAACTCCTGTGATCGCGAGTGTGAACGTGTGAGTCCCCAGCACTTTCGGGGCCACCCCTCCGCGGCCCCCGGCTACTGTGGCAGTGTCATGTCAGCTGCTTCTGCTGCCAAGAAAAGCGGCCGGCAGATGTGAACCATGAGTTTGACCACAGCATTGCAGCTCCTCACATCAGATCTCAGAAGAAAAGCCTTCAGATCATGGCATTTTGAACTTAAATGTAGCTTGGGAGAGGCAGGGTATTTGCTATCTTTTTCTTCTCTTCCCTTTTGATCATTCAGGATCATGTTTCTTGACTTCTTCCCCATGCAGGAAGGCTGAAACCATGCTTATCTTACACAGGGTACACATACACGTGTGGGTGTGCTTAAATAAATGGGATTCACTCATAATCTCAATCTTCAGAGGGCTTCAAGAAAACGAGATGTAAAGCAAGGCTCCGTGTGCCCACCACTACCTTTCCCGCACCCCTGTTCCGCAAAAAAAAATGCCTGTTCCATAGGTGACAAGTGGCCTGAAGGCAAGTCTTGGTAACGGAGACCCTCTGGACAGGACCTCCTTTCCAAAACTCCTTTCCCAAACTTGATCTGAGAGCTCCAGTTAGCAAATTCCTGCTTTTTTGCTCTTTCCTAAAGTTCTAATGCAACAAGCCTTCTTCACAAAATGCATCTATCAAGCGCTGGCAGCAACTCCAGCCTCAACAAACCTTACTCTAGGATTTGGGTAAAAGTTTCAGAACTGGCTAAAGCATCACCAACGAGTCTTTCTGTGGAAATTTAACAGGGCTCAAGCTCTAATTCACTAGTGCCTTCCATAAAAACCAAAGTTCTAGCATGCACCTTGCTAGGAGCAGACCAGGACGGCGACAATGAAACATCAGATACGACTGGCACTCCGGACTGCTAAAATGCCCCTTTTAGGAGAAAACGAAGCCTGAAAAAAAATCTTCAGAAGTACACCAGGAACTGAGAAGCTCGATTTCCAAAGTGCCCAAGAGGTTTAGGAGCATGCCGGCAAGCCTCCCCGCAGATGTTTCGTCCATGCATATATACACATAAACACGCACACATCCGCCTGAAATAACAGCCCTATCCGAGCACAAAAACTCCCTCCAAACACCACGTTTTAGTTCAGAGTGCATTTTTGCAGCAGCAGCAGCGTTTTCACCCTTAAAAAACCCGAGCATCTAAAGTTTGTTTCGAAAGCAAGGGGCTCTAATGAACGTGTTGACACCACTTCAGCTACAGGATTGTGAACAGCACCACTAGAATATATATGTATACATACTTGAAAGAAAAAAGGCCCCCTGAATTTATGTTGCATATCATTTTCCAGTAAAAGTCAGAGGTCAGAAGGTTACCAGTTTCTGCCTCAGCTCTGCAACAGTTTACTATTCCAGGCCCCATTTTTACTAGGCTATACTTGCGATGAAGTCAGCAACTTTTCTTTAAACAATACAGTGTCTCAAATACTTAAAATTCTATAAAGAGATGTTATTCACCATGTACGTTAGGTCCGTGCGTATAAAAAATTAAAATATACTGGTTTAGTTTAAAAACTAATCTTGTTAACTGCAGACTTTGCAATGCTAATCAGTACTGCTCAACCTTTTTTTGGAAACACAATTCCTTTGTTGTCTAACAGCACTTGAATGAAACATGATCATAAAACCAGATTTAAAAGTATATACCTATCGTGAGTTCAGAGTCAACTTCAATAAAGCACTCCCTTTTATATTCAGATTAAGGATCCATTTTAAATTTTAATTGCATTAAATTAACACTAAATCCGCTGCAGTTGGTCTTTTCGGAAAAAGTATGAAGCATTTAAACAGCTTCTCAGGAAAATCCAGAACTTCAGGTTTTTTAGACTACGGAGCTTCTGAGACAGCGCTAATTATTTGTAGTATGTCCCACTTCAATTGCAGTAAGCTCATTTCATACTCGTCCTGCTAAATCAGTTACTCTGTTTGGCTTGGCACACAAACAAAACATTTTTGCATTCAAGTAAATTGGAATTGAGTAAAAAAAGTAAATAAAAGCACTGCTCAGGATTTTGTAAAATGGGCCAGCTAACATCTCTTCTTTACACGCAGCAAAGTTTTGATGGCATCTTTGAAATATCAGCATGCATTTCGGCAATCTTAATTACATTTGCTTTTGAAGATTTCATCTTTTAACCCATTTGAAAGGAAGAAAAAAAAAAAAACAACCCAACCCTTCTCATTGCTTATTTTTATTAAGCATACTGCAAATTTGGTACATATGTTGCTCTAGCATGTGCCTGCTGGCAGGGTCGGAGAAATAAAGATGCCAATCGTTTTACTAGGAGGAGATGGAAAAAAAAAAAGTGTCAAAAAAAAGGAAGATAGACCTTTCTCAGCACAAAGCCCCTAGTACCTGAGCGCATTTCAACATCGGAAAGAGAGTAACCAGGTCCCCAAGCATCGGTGACCGCTCGCCAGCTAAGAAAGCACAAGGGCTCCGTTCCTACCTTGCTCACTGCTGTTGTCCCCGCTGTGTGATGTGTGTCCCCCGCTCGAGGGCCCGGGGGTTCCCCCAGAGCGTGTCGATGCCGTGTCATCATGATCTCTGTTCCAGGAAGGCTGTGGGGCCAAAAAATCAAAAAGTTAAAACCTGCGATGGGGAAGAAGCGCCTGATTCACGTGCTCCCGGGAGAGCAGTACCCATGGCCAGACCCGTGGGAAAAGGCTGGCAAACACATCAACACATCCCCCAAGATATTCCTTATGTTATGATAGCCGGATCGCCGCTCCCCAGCGAAAATAACATACTCTGGAACATGTTTACCATCTAAATAATCCATGTTATATTACCATAGAAAACAGAAACAATCCCGGTAAGGCTGGAGGGGAGCAGGGGGGAGAGCCAGAGAGCGAATCGCTGGCACCGGGCTCCAACTATATTTTTAGCATCCGCAAACCCTCCGGCGTAAGAGCCTGCTAACTCCGCAAAAGCGAAATGAGAGCGGTGGTCGAGAGCAGCGCTGTTTATATAGGCCTCCCATCCCTCGTACGAGGCCAACGTGGAAGAGCTTAAAGACTTTGCTGGCAATTAGGCCTGGGTCCATAATAGCCGGGATGTGTCAGCTGTTTGCCGGATGGTATATGGCAAATGGACCAGGCACGGGGACAAAAAAGAAATGAGGATAACAATGGCTTCACATAGGCTGTGTACACTCAGCCCCATGCAGAGCCTCCTTGTACTATTGAACAGAAAACAGATGTTGCTTCTTATCACTGGGTGCATTTGAAAGTAACATTCGGATAGAAAAAATTGGCCGTAAATTAAATTCTTAGGGAAAACAATCGTGGCAACACTCCTCCCAAGTCTCCCTTTATCACCAGAGAAGATTTTAATTAGCTTTTAGTACTAGCTTTTAAAAAACATCACAGGGACTCACTGGTCATCCTGCATGGCCTTCTGTGCATAATTGAATAGTTTCTTCTTTACCATGAAGCAATATTGCCCACTGGAAATGGTTGCCGAAAAGAAAACCCTGGTGTTTACAACGCACACACGTAAGTCTATTGGATTTAAATCATACCACAATATGAGCTGAGTCTGTATACTATTAAAGTTGACTGATACTGCCAGCTTTTTAATAAATCTACCAATAGGCTAAACCCTAGCCGTTTAATACCGCGTTCACACACAGCCAAACGAGATTTAAGGCGATCCAGATGAACTTTTCACACGTGTACCCCGAGAACGAAAATTAAGACAAAAAAGTCTTATCTGAGACAGAAGATAAATGGGATTAGAAAAGCTCAACTTTTTTTCCAGAAAAGAGAAATCTCTCTTCCATTTTTTATAATCCTGGTTACAGCCATGATACATGATTACAATTAAAGAAAGCGAGGCCCGGAAAATACCGCATGAATATTTTAAACCAATTATTATGCATATTCCTTAAGAAAAAAAAAATACATAAAAAGTGCTAATTGATCTGGTGATTCTGTGATTGAAAGAATGATGTGTGAACTGTGAAAGAAACGCTTTTTTTTTTTTTTTTTTTTACAAATACGCATTCTCCGGCATACCAAAAGAATGCTGTAAGAGGTAATCTGGAACACATGCTCAGAATGCAAACAGTTAATGCATAAATTTTCAGTTTGTACAACTGCAGCTTTAAAAGAGGGACTTGTTTATTCAGAGCTCTGCAGAAAGAATGGTACAGCACCCAGGGGACAGACAATGCCAAGCACAAAGCCCTGGTGCCTCAACATGTAAAAGGATGTTTTTCTATGTGCTACAAATCCCACTTGAAAATATAATTAGAAGGAGAAAATGGCAAACTATTGCATTAACTGTAATTGAACAAAAGACCAGCAAGGCATGTGGGAGGTTGCAGGAACCCGTGGGAGTTCCAGGATGCATCAGATCCTACGAGTGACATCTCCAGGGCACTCTCATTCTATTTATGTTGTCCCTCACTACTATTGTTGACTAGTGAGCTGACTTGTAATTAATAGAAAAGCTGCAGATAACAAGGTAAAATATAGAGCACCGCACTAACCTCAGCAGAAATGTTTATTAATCTGATTAAGAATACAACTCCGAAGGCGGGGAAGGTGATGGCGGGGGGAGCAGAAAAGAAGAGGCTCCGGACTGAAGAATTATACCATGTTGTGCAGGAAACGGCCCTCCTTTATGCAACAACAGACCTGATATATTCACTATCTTTTAATGAGCTCCCCTGATTTATTCAGCTCCGTTCAGTTCCCTCCCCCACTTTTCTACTGTGCGGGATGTAGATTAATTCAATGCTTAATTGTTTAGTAAATTCAATTTTCCACATTCTATTCTGCATAGCTTTAGCTAAGGTTCTTAAATCTTCAGCGGCGAGCCCTGAGCCCAGTGTTTGTGATCTGTGCCTACCTTTTTTCATCACCATTCTTCTTCCTCCACCACTTAATTCACCATGAAAAGATTTTCCTTGCTGGAAAGTCTGATTCCGCTATGATCTGTGAGGCATTCCGATTCATTGCATTTTCATTGTGTTGGGTCTTAGATGCTGGGCTCCTCTTTTCTCACAGCTATCGCCACATTATACAGGCACTCATGCAAGAAATGTTGGATTCTACCTCAGTTTATCAAAATTTTGTGCATCCTGGATGTTTACATTTCTGTATTCAGAAGCAGGAGTTAATATTTTCCACCTAATCTCACTTTTATTAAGCTATTATTTTTATGGCCTGTTAAAAACGAATCTGCTCGGGATACTGCTAACTTTTTTTTTCCTGGCTGCCTCCGTCTATTAGCATTTCAAAAGTATTTGTATTTAACTAAGCATCTCAAGTCTTAAGAGACTAGGAATTACATCTTTAGTCAGTTTATTAAACATGATGAAAGATTAGCTATCAAAGTTAGTATGCAAATTCTTCAGAGATAACTGCGTTGAAAGCTGCATTATTTTTTAAACAGACGCTACGCAGCCCCGGTTCCAAAAACATCTCTCTCCACCGAGGGAAGAGAGATCCAAAGCATAAAACCAAGTGTGATTTTTCTTCTCCTGACTCTTTCAGCGAAGTTCCCCCGTCCACGAAAGCAGGGAGCCAAGTATAACATTCATCTCATCCCTTTTTTCAATCTTCCAAGGAACTTTTAAGACAACAAAGTCTCTAAACCAACTCGCAAACTCGCGATCCTCCAAGTACTTTCACATTAAATTGTTTCTGACAGTGACATGCCAAATATTATTATTTTTCACACTGTGAACCACCTCCCTCTTTCGCAGAAATATTTCCAGCACTAGTTACAGAGAAAACTCTGACAGTAGTCATGACAATCTATTCCTACACAGAAATAGAAATGCCTCACTTATTTATTTCCCTTCTCTGAGAAGTTGCGGTTTATCACTTGATGGGGATCCTTAGCAATGATAGTGATTTTTTAAAATTCACTGTACGAAGGCTGCTGTAAACAGGAATTAATTCCATGTCACCTTCTACACAGAAATCCTGCGTTCCCGCTAATCGTGGGCGCACAGAGAGAAACTAAAAGACTTGCTCCCCATTTCTGCAAATGAGCAATGCCCCTTGGAAAAGCTGCCTGGCTCTCAGGTTAAAGCCCATGACCCGAGATTGTCCAGAGTCAAATAACTTGGGATGAGCCATGGGATCTCTGTGCCTCAGTTTCTACCAGGGGAACAACAACAACAACAAAAAACAAGTAACAAAAAAAAAAAAAAAAAAAAGAGGGTTGCACTTATCTCCAGTGCAGATATTGTTGGGGGATTAAATTAATTAGTGACTGTAAAACATGTTGAGTTCTTCCAAAGGGAGACTTTAGAGAAGTGAAAAGTAATATAAATTAATCACTTCATTACATAGACTGGCTCATTCCAGAGGAGGGTCTCAGCCAGGTGGTCGTGACAATAGTATATAAATAAGGATAATGGCCCATTATGACTTGGGCTTATACATTAGTCACCATTTAGCTAAGAACGGACACTGCAGTATGGACTGGGACTCGCTGATAATCCCTTTTTTTAGTAGTTTTTATCTTTCTCTTCCAAGCTAGCCCCTGGCCAAACACTCAACTGAAACTTTCAGCCCAAATCTTTGCAAAATCAAGAATACACAAGCAAAATCAAGAATACACGAGTAAAATCAAGAACACATGAGCAAACTAATTTGGGGATTTCTAGGCTGGGCTGTAAGTTCCCATCATTTCAACTGGTTTTGCCCCACTGCCTTTCTCACTGGTCAATAGTTTCTAGTGCCAAAACTACGGTCCAGCTAGTGACTGATTTGAGTCACGGTTGCATGACTGATTTAAAATAAAAGAGGATTCAGGTGCTCTAATGCTGCACCACTTTAAGGGCAAAAGACCTTCTACAAGGGATGTTTTATCTTAGCCCGTGGCATTTGAAATCCATTTCCTGACTTTTGTTTTGGTTCTGAAGCTTGTTGAGTACTCTGATATAAGCAGAGGAAAAAAGAAGAAGAGGAAGAGAAAGAAGAAGAAGAACGAAAAGGAAAACAAAAGAAAGACACAAAAATGTTTGGGTATTCAAATGATCCCAGAAGCACCAATTGCCTCCCATGACCACTATCAAGTGTTTCATCCACGTGGGTGACGTGTTGGGCTGAAAAGCACAAGCCCCAGCAGGTACCAGCACAAGGACCCCATCAAAGGGAAGACCACATTTGATGAGGTCTCCGAAGCAGTTATTGACTTGTGTCATGGTGAACATCAAGGCTTAATAAACAAAAAAGCTACAGACAAAATTATTTGGTTAATGGCTAAATTGGAGAGTCAATATAAATAACATTACGTACACTTACTGCTGCAACTCAACAACAGCTGGGCTTTGAGTCAAGTTAACACTAATACGCAGTGGGGGAAACCATTGCCTTCTGTTTATACTAAAGAATAACTTGGATTTTTTTGAGCATCAAGCATGCGAAAGGGGAAAAAAGAAGTGCTGGCCAAGGAACAACAGGCTCAACCATAAATACATAAATAAAAGAAATCGCTTTCTATTACAGGTGATAAAAATTGTACTCAGCATCTTTTGATATATATCATATCTTCTGAAAAGTTTTGCGAGCACAGCCCTCTTGTGGGCTCATTTGTG